CCTATACTGTAGATAGGTCTTAGTCATCAGGTCTACTCCACTTCCTTGTTGCCTGCTTAGACTCTTGGCACTCTTAGGTGAGCAGACTTAGTCAGCCTGTGTTGCCCTGACAGCTGGGTGTCTGGAGACAATGAGGATGCATATGGTTTTGTGGACCCATCCTCAGTCATCTGCTTGTGCCACTTGGTACCATGTTTCAACAGCAGCCCTGATGATGTTTCTGCATCAGAGTTGTCTCTTCTGAAGAGGAAACAAGCTGATGTGCATATGGACTGGAAGGCCTATTATGTGATGAGGTGAGTGTGCACTGCTTCCACCTGACACTGGGATGGGAACCAGAAGCAGGTTTGTTGACTGTGATATGGCCATGTGTTATCGTGGGGGGGGGGGCAGGACATCTGTACTCTGATCCTTCTTCTCTAACCTCAAAGAACATGCAGAATTGGAGGAAGCACTCCATGTTTCCTCAGGACATCTCACCTGACACAGTGAATGGCAAAGCATCAGGTGACCTGACACTGCAGGATGATGAGTTTGAATCAGAAGATGATTCCCCCCTGGTGGACTATGGCCCTGGTTGGTACAATTACTGAAGGTCCACGAACTGACATCAGGCATTTGCAGGTTTGCTGAGTGATACTAGTCTTGTCTTGTGGACCAAGAAAGGGTACCTGACAAGAAGAAGGTGGTCGAGGTGCACATCAATAAGGACATGAAGGGTGTGTGAGGGCACTAGGTCTAGCAAGGTTGCCACACACTAATCTCAAACAATAGATGAAGTGCTGGGGGGTCTACTGTGGTTGAAAGCAGCTCTAACCAGCAGTACTAGTCAATATCCACATCACCAGGGCCAGCTGGATTATTGGGGGGGTCCCAGGGGGTGTTATAAGTTGGTTATAGATAGCTGAAAAGTGTAGGAAGAGTTGTGGAGTCAAGGCAGGTTTCTGAGAGCAGGGTGTTCAGGTGTGTGTAGAAGGGGGTTCAAGATGATGAGATGACTTAGAAACTGCTTGTAGACTAAGGAGTTTCCTCAGAGATCAAATCTGAGGGATACAGTGTCACTGTACTACTGTTTATATACCTTGTAGGTGTTCACCAGAAGCCCAGAAGTCCAGGTAAATTCTGGGGACTCCTACAAGTGTCAGATAGATGTCCTAGCAACACCCCTAGGCCTCCCAAACCTTTCCAATAAATTGTGGAGACTCCTACAAGTGTCATCTTGCGTCCCACTACTCCCAGTAGGGGCCTTTAGCACTGCTATGTCTCACCCCAAGTGTCTGGACACAGCAATCTTGTGGTGTCCTCTGCACAATGTCTTGTATGGCCACTGCCATCATCCTAAGGCAGTTACCAGCACAGGAAGTTCCAGGGGCTTGTTGTTTCATTGCTCCTAGGGCGAAATGGGTGGCCAGGGGTGGTAACAAGCAGTGCCCTGACAGGGTGGTGAAATGATGAATTTCGCTGGCAAAAGTGATCAGGCACCAGAGATGATACCCAGAGACGTCGTCATCATGCATAGATTGGAAGAGACCCAGGCCTGTTCAATCCACCCCAATATCAGTGTTCAGGTGTGTAACTTAGAGCCACCCCTTCAGTTTCCATGTCACTCATAGCGTGATAATTAGATAAGCCAGGGAGTGTCACCTGGACCAGTGCTAGGAATGTGAAGATGGGCTGCATGTGCTGTGTCAGGTGCACTAAACATTGTATGAACCAACTAAGAGTGTCAGGTGAATGAATGTAACATAGTGGATTCATGGTAAGTCACTCATTTTATTAATGCCTGAATGCAATAACCTGACAATGAGCTGGTCCGACAACTGGCAGTGTGTCAGGTAAGGGTCCCAAGAAGCACCCGATGCTTCTTAGGACCCTGAATCATGGTTCTCCCAATAATGAGAAGGCCAGATGCATTCAGAAGCTGACTGGACCCTGATGGAAGCATTTGTGCCCTCTTGTTGTGTGGTCTGATCAACTCTAACCACACCTGAGGCCAGCTTAGGCCACCTGACACCACCTGCTGCCACCACCCCCTCTACTCTGCTTGCTCTCTGCTCAACTTCAAACATATCCTTTTAACAGCAAACAACCAACAATGCTCAACCCTGCCCCCTATCAGCATCTGAGAAAATGTAAGTACATTGTCTTGTGTCAAGTGGAATGTACCTGACACATGCATACAGATGAGGTCACAGAGGCAACCTTGCAGTATGGTATGGCTTGCACTTGCAAGTCATACCACATCTTTTGCTGCAACAAGGGGTGGCAGCTGGCGCTGCCTGATGATGCCATTGGGGCTCTGGGGGACATCTATGTCAAGGATGGGGCAGGGAAGGCACTGCATGCCTTTGCCAAGGTGGATGTAGGAGGGGAGGGAGGAGTTGAAGAGGAGTGGGTTCTCTGCCCAGATCTCCACTCTGAGGTGCCTGGATGCTGGTCTCTGGTGCATCATCCAGTGCACAAGAGTCTAGTCATCCTGGAGAGGGATGGAGTGGTGGGTTGGGTGAGCAGCAGCTCTGTGCACATGGCACGCTCTAGTAAGTTCTTTTTCACTTGACATATTATATTGACCAATACTTTATTTACAGGTGCATCTAAAGGCAAGCTGAGCATGTTGAGGCTGGCTGCATCAAGTAGCTGGTCATGGAGCAGGACCTCTCCTATGAGATTGAGGAGAGGATGGAGCCACACTGGGTGTATATGCAAGTGCTGGAGATTGTGGAAGAGCTGGAGGAGGAGCAGCACAAGCTGCAAGAGGAGATTTGGATAGAGGAGGGAGAGGAGCTTTGGGTAGAGGAGGGAGAGGTGGAGGCACAGGTGGGCCTGAGGTACCAGACAGGTAAGTGTCAAGTGTTAACCTGGTCCAGATCAACTACTAATCATCTTATCTTCACTTGACACAGATACTGTTGCCTCTCTGCCAATGGTACAGGCTCCATTTTCAAATGAGGCAGCCACTACAAAGATGCTTGAGCTCTCAAGAGTGAGCAGAGAAGCAGAGAGCTTTGATCCCACCTTTGGTGCAGGTAAGTTGTGAGGGAACCAATGAGGAATCGACCTGACACAGCTGCATAGATGGACAATCAATGCTCAATGAGCACTGGGAGAAGATGGAGGGCTGGGAAGGGGGGGACATGGGTAGCCCCTGTCAGGGCAACACAGGCTGACTAAGTCTGCTCACCTAAGAGTGCCAAGAGTCTAAGCAGGCAACAAGGAAGTGGAGTAGACCTGATGACTAAGACCTATCTACAGTATAGGTACCTGTGGATGATCCTAAGAGACCAAGTCTGAAGAGAGAGTCCCCAGGCAGAGTAGGCCTTATATTTATACCTCTGTGGTGGAACCTGCTAGAACATCTTGCTTACTCAGCCTAGTCAGGTGATCAGGTCATATGACCAAGGATGAGGTCATATGAGATCATGCACAGCCATGCACAGCAGGTCACCTGACCATCCAATCCTTCCAGCAGGTTCCAGCACATGCCAAGGTATACCAGCTACTTCCATGT